GAGATTTTCATCTCTCTGATCTCAGGTGACACTTCCTCCAGACCCCAATGTGACTGAAGTGCAGGCTCTCAGACGTCTGTCCCCTGCCCCTTCACACACAGATTCAAGCTCTATCAACTAGACCAGTGGTTCTCAACCTTTTCAGACTCAAGGCACCCCTCAGAAAATGCTAGCTCTAGGTTTTCACTCTTTTGTTGACCACAGAAAAGTAACAGAGCAGTTTTTCTGTTGCGAAGAACTCAGCAAGACCCCAAAACTATGGATTGCTATTTGAAACCTCTGAGTCTATCTTGTGAATCATGGTTGCAAACCTAACAGTGCAAACTGGGTGGCAATCCATGGCACCTCTGAAAGGATCCCAAGGCACCCCAAGGTTGCAAACCATTCAATTAGACTGACCCCCAATGTTTGACATCCCAGAACACCATCTTCTGCAAAATGCCGCTGTAACTGTTAGCGAAAGCTACCAGTCACTCTGGCGTGTGTGTACTCCAAGGGGCCCCTAGGCCATTCATCCCTCTCCAACATACTTCAGCTACACCCACAAATGCATCAGACTGCCCCACTCCCTGGACAACCTTAGGAAAACCTTCTTCACAGTGACCAGACTGTGGAATAAGCTCCCTCCAGAGATGGTGCAATTGCCTAGCCTGGAGATCTTCAAGAGGAGACTAGATGGTCACCTTGCTGGGGTCACTTGACCCCAGTTGTCTTTCCTGCCTAGTGCAGGGGACTGGACCCGATGATCTTGTGAGGTCCCTTCCAGCCTCACAATCTATGAATCCCAACACACCGCTCACCCTAACTGGTATATAATGTACACATACATGGCTGACAAATGCACAACTCACATGCACACAAATCTTTCTCGAGGAGAGATCAAAGAGGCAGGATTTGCTTTCTTTCAGACCTCCTTGTCCAAGTCGCACCTGGCTGTATATTCATGCCACCTTTTACCCAGAAACCTCTGTGCCTCCATCAGCAATTTCAATGGAAAAGCTGGCAAGGGTTTGCAGAGCACAGGAACTGCATAGCTGCACTCCATGAGCAGGGAGACATCACTATGCTGTTGCTTGGCTCTGTGGGGCCTGGCTGAGCTGGCCTGGGACCGTGCCTTCATCTTAGCTCTGGCTTTCCACCACAACACCAGCACTCACAACACCGAGGACTCTTCAACTCCCAAAGTCCTCAGCAAATGTTAAGAACAACCAACCCTGAAAGAATCACCCTCAACAGAAGCAGGCTATAGACTTTTAAAACAAAACCCTCACCCCCAAGCACGGTGGAGTCTTTTTGCTTCAGAAAGGCAAAAATGCCAGAGACCCCATAATATCCACCAGGGATTGGCAATTACTCTGTTTCATATGGAAGATACCCCAATACCATGGTGATGGGCAGTGGTATATAAAACCCTAAGGTAACTAAGCTTTTACCTTTAGGGTTCAAGCTTGAAGCTGGTTGAGGGCAAAGATACTAAGAGCACTACATCACCTCTGAAGGCAAGGGAATACGTGCTGCCAAAACCACAGCGGAAACCTTCACTCAGATCTACAATGGAGGAGCCATCAAGACAGGACCGGTGAGAGCTAGCAGAGCTGTCAGGGCTCGGGAGTGAAAGAGCAGGACTTTCACTGCAGATCAGAGATGCTGGACAAAGATACAAGTATACACAAAGCTCATGCATGCAAACACACAGTGCAGTCTCCACACATGCTCAGCCAAAGCATCTGCTAGAGCCATTTCCATTCCCAATGCTGGGAATCAAATCTCCTGTTTAGCTCTCAGGGCGGCAGCTAAAGAGAAAATTCTTCTCTTGCTGCTTCTGCCAGCTTCCCCAGAGGGAAGGCTCAGTGGAGGGGCTGGGCAGCACCTGGCTCCAGACAAGTCTCTACTCTTAAAGAGATTTACAGCTGCAAACACAAGGAGGTCAAGTTTGCTGCCCAAGTGTGTCTATCCTGGAGTGCAAAAAATGCCAGGGCAGGGCCACACTGGCTGCCACAGGCACCTCGGATCCACGACTCCTTCCCAAGCCAGGACCTGTAGCCCAAGACAAGTACCATCCTAAAACCATGGCAGATTTATAGTCAGGGTAGAAGTCTGGCATAATGTGCCCATAGAATTAGGGAAGAGGACTGGAAAGTGTGCATGTGCGGTCTAACAGAGCAGAGGAGTATGGGTAGTCAGGACTCCTGGGTGCTATAAAAGGTCGACTTTGCCACCCTTGAACTTTCATACAACTCAAAGTGCTCCACGGGCCATCATCACAGCTCAGGGCACCCTATAAGACAGGTGCTTAGCATCATCATCTATAGACATGGAAAAAAATTTAAAAAAGAGTGATTCAAGTCAAACTTTCCAAAATGTAGCTTCTACAGGCTACAGGACCCGAGTCCTGGCCTCCCACTCTACGCTTCACTTCTTTTCCAGCATTAGGAAGAGAAACCCAAAGCCGTGACTCAGTGCCATCATCGATGCCCCTTTTTTTGCCAGGAACATATTTCAAAGTTAAACAACACAGGAAAATATCACACACTTTCCCACATCGGTGCGGCTCTCTCCTCTTCCCGCCTCAACTTCATTTCATGCTGGAATGGGCCTATAATTAATGCTCTGAAGCTCTATATTCTCTCAGGCATTCTCTCAACACTTTCCTAATGCAGGTTATTTCCCTCCCAGAGTCGGATGCATCCAGAGCGTTTAATGTCTGAGCAAGCGTCAGACTCGCATACCTGCTGACGGAAAGCTGCCATTAATTTGGCCGCCTCGCAGAGCCAACCTGAAATCTTTTATTCATAGACATTGGCTTATTGTATTACTTTTTGATAAAAAGCCACATTGAGAAGTTTCAAACGCATTCATTTGCCATGAGAAGAGGAGTGGAGATGGTTTTATTTATTCTTTCTGGCACTCGCCTCTGGAAGCCGACACCACCTCAATAGGGAACGGACACACCTCCAATATTAAACGAGTTCTTTATGGGCCTGATTTGCCTCTGCGGAGGGCAACGGGAGATTTTGCCGTTTGAATAATAAGGTTCATAACGGAGCAAAATCCTGATCCCCCTTGACTGACTTCGCAGGGAAAGCAATTGACTTCACTGATAGAGACAACTCAGGCTTGGAGGTTTAAAGTGACCCAAGGGACAGATCTATCTGTGGGACTTCAACGGCCCCATCAGCAAAGTGTCTGAGCACCTCTCACTCTTTAATGTATTCGTCCTCCCCGTACTCCTCCGAAGGAAAACATTGCTGAGGTTCACATTTCCCTGATGGGGAACTGGGATACAGAGGGCTAAAGTGACTTCTTCAGGGCACATTGCAGAGAGCTATTCTCTGCCCCACCTATGCCCTAAGCACTGAGCTGTCTTTTGTCTCTCAGCACCCATCTCCCAATGAAGGTCAGAGCTCCATGAGGCCCCAGTCTGCCCAGGACAATGCAGAAGGTAAGAGCCTTGGTATTAGTATAACAGCAAGCCAATGAGACCAAGGCCCCCTGTGCTGGGGATTAAACACACGTGTAAGGAATAGCTTCACTGCAGTTAGAAGTGGGCCAGCAGCTCCTGCAGACCTACCCCAGTGGGCTTTAAACCTGAGACTGGGAGCAGTATAACTGCCACAAGATGAGGCAGTCTACAGCAAAAGCAGCCTTTGAAAGCTTGTTGAAGTCCAGCCCAACCAGGCAGTTGGTTCAATACAAGATATCATCCTCAAGAACCCTTGCTTCTCCTCCATTTCCCGGACCATCATGGCTGTAACGTCACCCCAACACCACCAAAGCTTTCACAGGATTTTCTCCCCCTTCTCGGTCAAAATCAAATGCAACATTATCCATGCACCAGAGTGTTTCCACTAGTTCCCCCAGCTTCGTCAGAAACAAAAAGGTATTCATCACGCAGCGGTAGGAAGGAATCAATATGGTAGATGGAACAATCTGAGCAGCTGAACCTCCACACCCAAGACATGACTTTCACAGACAAAACACCTCTTTCTCTCTCTCCAAGTCTACATGCAGGTAGGAGAGCTCTTCTCCAGGCTCCAAAGCAAGAGGAGCATGAACACAGTCCAAAGACCAAGGTATATTGGCACGTGCAGTGTCCAGAGTCTACAGGCAGGAAGCCAGCTTATCCTGGTGCTCATATCCAGGTAGTGGCCATGCTCACCTCAGCCACTCTCACCTCCAGGACAAGGAATTGAATGCGAGTGCTGCAGGCACCCTGCTGCCCACCAGCATAGCAGCTCAAGTCCTTTGCTAAGTCGCAGGCTTCTCCCAAGGAACAGGAGAGCTACTTAATCCACCTGCAAGGTGCTAGCCATGAAACATGACAGCACGAGACCATCACTAGCACAACAATGACAACTGTCTCACTTGCTATAGGTGCAAATCAACACAGCGCTACAAGTCCTGAAGCTGGACCCCCCCATCCCACTGCATACCAGATCTCCATAGTCCCTGAAGTCTGTGGAGGTGCAAAGCAGGTCACACCAGTGCAGAATCTGATGCAATTATTTCCACACCTGAAGAAGAGCTGACTAGCCAAACACTTCACAGAGCCAGAGGGTCCAAATGGCTGGTGACAAGACAAGGCCAGCAGCCAGCCAGCCCCAGGTCAGAGTACAAGAGAAGCCATTGACATGCACACAGGAGAGCAGCAGTAGGAGACTCTGGCAACCAAAGAGGGCTTCAAACTAACTGTAGCATCACAGCATTTGGGCAGCTCAACCCCATCTTGCCTCCAAATGACATCAGGACACAATACTGGGATTTTACCAGGGCTCCCTCCCCAACTACAGCACAGCATCCCCTCTGCCCACTCATCACCTGGGCTGGGAGGGAAGGAGGAACTGGGAACAGGGGAAGAGACTCCCCTTTACTGCCCCCCGCCCCCCTCCCCCCCAGCCCTCCCAGCTGCCAGGAGGACCTGGGAGGGACCCAGGTTTGGTGAAAAGCTAGGCAAGGAGCTGGCATCGATGGTGTGACAGCTGGGGCAGGGTAGCCCTTACCGGCAGAGATGGTCCGTCCGGCACATGTTCCGCAGGTCCAGGCAGTTGGGCTTCTCCTTGTCCTCGTAGGAGCAGGAGGGGACGATGGTTTGCCGGCGGCGCTCAGCACAGGCCTGGTCCTTGCAGGAGCAGAAGAGCAGGCGGTAGGTGTACTCGCTGGGCACACGGTCAAAGAACTGGCGCAGGGCCTTGTGGCACTTGCGGCGGTTGCAGCGCTCGGTGGCCGAGATCTCCTTGCTGCAGGTGGAGATGTAGCCAGAGCGCAGCCGCTTGCAGTTGTCGTTCAGGTTGCAGGCTTTGGCTGCATCGAGGCAGTGGTTACTTTTGGAGTTGGTGGCGGGATCCATTCCTGCCCAAGAGAGGGAGACAGGGTTACAATCACAGAGTCACAGAAGATGAGGGCTGGAAGGGACTTCAGGAGATCACATCTAGTCTAACCCCCTGTTCCAAGCAGGACCAACCCCAACTAGATCATCCCAACCAGGGTTTTGTCAAACCGAGTCTTAAAAGCCTCCAAGGATGGAGACTCCACAACCTCTCTGGGTAACCTGTGCTTTACTACCCTCCTAGGCAGAAAAATTTTCCTAATATCAAACCTCAACTTCCTTGTTGCAACTTGAGCCCATTGCTCCTTGTTCTGTCATCTGCCACCGCCGAGAACAGTCCAGCTCCATCCCCTTTGCAACCATCCTGCAGGGAGTTGAAGGCTGCTATCAAATCCTCCCATAGTCTTCTCTTCTCCAAATTAAATAACCCCAGCTCCCTCAGCGTTTCCTCATAAGTCATGTTCCCCAGTCCCCTCACCATTTTTGTTGCCCTCTCTCCAATGTGTCCACATCCTTTCTGTAGTGAGGGGCCAAACTGGACACAAGACTCCAGATGTGGCCTCACCAGCGCCAAATAGAGGGGAATAATGACTTCCCTCAATCTGCTGACAACACTCCTACTAATGCAGCCCAGTGTGCTGTCAACCTTGGTAACCAGGGCACATTGTTGGTTTATATTCAGCTTATTGTCCTCTGTAACCCCCAGGTTCTTTTTTTTGCAGACCTGCTGATTAGCCAGTCAATCCCCAGCCTGTACCAGTACATGGGATTGTTCCGTCTTAAGTGCAGGACTTTGCCATGGTCCTTATTGAACCTCATGAGATTTCTTTTGGTCCAACGACAAGTAGAGGACAAATGTGGAAGAATCAGAATAGCACCGCAGTCTAATTCATGCTTAGGCCTCAGGCCTCTCTGCTTTGCCAAGGCATGATGACTTTGTGAGCTCCCTCCCAGCCCTTCTTTCCTATGATCCTAGGAATAGGGCATTGCACAAACAAGAATCAAGCCCCAAGAACAGCAACCTGGGCCTGGGGTGTCTTGCATAGAGCACAGATTTCCAAGGGCACTCAGAAGCCAGTGGTGCCCAGAGAAGGAAGTGGAAGCCAAGCAGCAGAACTAGCTCCCAGGCCCACCAGCCCTTGTAGACCTCACTACCCATTCACCAGCATGAGGCCTGACTGCGTGCACAGAGCTTGGGCAAAGTGGAGCACCAACCATCTGAGAGAAGGGTTGGCCGAGCATGGTAGCAAGCCACCTAGAGCTGGGGCTGCCTACCCCATGCCTGGAGTCCACGTGTTCTCTGCCTGGACATAGGGGAATAGCTGCAGAGTTTGCAAACCAGAAGGCTGAGGAAAGGTTGAGGGCATGAGCAATTAGGAAAATGCAGTATCCACTGAAGCACAGGATGCTGCTCCTCTCCATCCACCTGCTGCAAACTTTGCCCTGAGAATGCAGAGCTGGATCAGCTTCTGCCTCGAGGGATTTTTCTATGGGGTGCAAGCACTCAACATCCTTTCATGCCATACCCAAAGTTTGGCTCCTTTGCATCAGAGTCAGAAAGCATGAGCACTGTCCTCCCTCCCTCCCACACACGAACACATGGGAGTCTGGAGCCGATTCACCTCTTCAGCTCCTGCTTAGCAGGCCCCAAATCCACCACTCTGCCTATGGTTGATGGGTGTAGCTACAATCAGGACTGGGTCTGCACTGACCCAAAAATGCATGGTTCCCTGAAAGTCTGCCCAGATTAGGGGTCCTCATCTGGCATGCAAGCAGTTAACCCAAACCAGACAAGAAATGGCAATGGGATCAAGTAATATTCAGTGCCTGACTGAGGTCATGAATTTGCAATATATTTGTAGTCAATTATTCAATGAATATACATTAATTATTCACCAGGCTCTGGAGAAGAGCAGCCCACAACAGTGTACAAGGGCCAAGCCAGGGAACGCTTCTCCTTTGATTCTCCAAGGAGCCTGGTAACCTCTACCCCTGTGTCTTCTCGTCCTTTGGTCCCAAGGCAGCTCCCCCAGCACAGAGGCTTCTGCAGTGGGCTAAGCCAACGTTGGCATTATCAGCACAGCAGCCCCTGTAAATATGTATGCAATGTGCTTCCAAGAAGAACTTCCCACCTCCCTGCATGTCTAACTGTGCCAAGAACAGGGCCACGTGTGGCCTGGCAGTGACAGGGAGAAGGGGGTTAAGTGGAGACTGCTGATGGTGAAGAGGAAACTGTGGCCTGCCAAGTGCACAGCTGGATGCCCTGCATCTGCGCCTGGAATCCCAGCAATCAGCAAAACTGGGAGAGGGCGGGGGGAACACACATCACGCAGAAGGAGCAAACGTGGAAATTTTTGTCAAAGTGATGAATTGCCCTTGGAGAGCCAGGTGCTATTTTAAAGTCACCTGACTGTACCAGTAATTTCTTCCCTAATTGCCCCTCCCCAGTTAACCAGCCAGGATCCTGGATTCTTCCATTATTCTCCGGTTTCCCCTGGCAGAGACAAATGGCAGCATCAAAGAGGGTTTCCTAACAGAAATATTTGCAGAGCCCTAGCAATTAGCAAATGGCAAGCAGCTGCCTAGGTAAAAGCCTCCCTCTCTGGTTTCCACCCCATCTTATTTTGTTCCACTGCTGCTGGCAGTCCCCACTACCAGCTCCCTACAGTCAGCCCTCTATACCACAGCACCTGCTCAGAGAAGCAGGGAACGGGAGCATCCATGGAGCCCTCTCTCTGACTATAAGCATTTCAGGCATCATAGACAGAAGCCCAGCCTGTTACCCAGCTTTCCAGTGTCTTTCCCTGTAGCAACCTCCGCTGGAAGAGGCTGAAACCAGAGTGGCTGAGAGCTTCCCTAATCCCCAGGCTGAGCTCCTGGGATTGCCTTGGGTTGAGCGATGCTACATTTGGTACAACCGTCATTCTCGCTCGCAGCCAGCACTGCTCCGCATGACGCACTGCATTTGAAAATGCAGTGTGTGAAAAATAGCTGTTGACCTCCACCCAAACACATGTGCATCCCATTACTGATCCCACACCATTCCCCTGGCATGGCTTTTGGAAAGGCCTCTGAAGATATTGAGGCAATATTACATATTAAGGCAACATACATCCTTGGAAAACTACAGCTCAGGGTACAAGAGCAAACTCAAAGACCCACTCCCCCTTCCCAAACAACATGCTTGTAATTTGGCAACTTCTTCATATGCCACGGTGATGATATAGTGGGGTCAGGGCGTTGTAGTTGTGATGGTCCAGAAAATATGCAAGAGGCAAGGGTTCCTGGGGGATAACTTTTATGGGACCAAATGTATTAGAAAAGATGCTAGGCAAGCACCCTTTTTCAGGTCTTGCACAGTGCTGGAAGACAGGCAGCCAGCCAGAAATGGAGGTCTCACTCCATCTCCTAGACCCTCCTTTTTAACATGTCCAACAGACTAAACCTTGCATCCAGGATCTGTTTTGTACTGGGGCACAAGCCCAGCTGGGTACCAGCCTCGGGATGTCATTTGGAAGAGCTGAGACGCATCAGTCTCTCTCCTCAAAGCCCCATAAATGGTTAACGAGAGTGGAACGCGATGGCTTTCCAACATGCCGGCATCAGCGTGAGATCTATGCAAAGTGCCAGCTTATTGTATAATCCTTATGAGCACCCACTCCTGCCCTACCCGAGACCTGCAGGGACCTGGATGCATTTTAATAGAGCTGATGCTTGAAAGAGCGCAGTTTCTGGGGAGCTCATTAATAAGGTACAAGCATTAACATTTCATGAGGTGGAAAGGAGCTGGGATCTGAGGAGGTGGGGCTTTCAGAGGGAGCCCTGGGGGAAAGTAGTGCAAACAGTCCGTACCCTTTACCCTTCCTCATGGCATGGATGGGACTCATGTAGTACCAGAGAGCACTGAGCTCAGGTGGGGACCCCCCCCCCAGCATTGGAGTAACAATCCTAGTGACAAGGGTAGGGAGAGCACGGGAGGCAGCTAATGGGAAGGCAGTTGCGCAAATGGAGGAGGAAAGGACCGAGACTCTACAACAAGGACATCAAAGCCTCCTGCCCACAGAAGGGGCTGGTACAACTAGCCTCCTCTGCAGCCCTCTCCTACACACAGCTCTACTGATGCCTGTTGTTCTTCCCTCGTAGCACCCAGGGCTAGTCCTGTCCAAGGCTCCCCACTTTGCTGCTGCCTGCAACGAGGCCTCGCTGTCATTCCAGCCTTGGCCTCTCTGGAGCAGAGATGGCTAGTTACTTATGACAGGTCAAGCATTGGGTGTTACCGATTCAGATGACAAGGGACCAGAGGAAGGCAGGACGTGCAGCAGAGATGCCAAGAAGCATCAGACCCTGGAAGTCCCAGCCTCTCCGCATTGCCTCCTAAGGTATTGCAGGAGCTCCCAATCAGGTCAGCCAGGCCACGGCTAGCAAGCGTTTTGTGTACATCACCTCCCTCTTTGCTTACACAGCCCCTTTATGAAAGGGAAGTAATCCCACTGCTATCCCCACAGGCAATTAACACTGCTCTGGCTCAGCTTTGTTATCGACAAACAACAGTAACAGCTCATTTGCTTCAATCGCTTGGGCTTCCGGTCAGGGCGGGGGGGGGGGGGGGGGGGGCCCAGGGGGGGAGGGTTCCCTCATTACAGTTATGCATGCAAGGGCAGAGTGAGGAAGCTCAGTCAGGTGGAAGGGAGGAGTTGACAGTAGCCACTGCATGAAACTCTGGCCTCTGCCACCCATAAAGGACATTGGAGGCAAAAGGATTTGGGTGTGGAATAGAGGGGACCTGCTGCCCAAGACGTGAAAGAGGGAGGCGCCAGCAAGACGGCATAGGGGAGTAGAGGGAAAGGCAAGGCAGGGTTTGGAGATTGCCAGGGCCAATGAGGGAGGGAGGGGCATCAAGCAGAAAGGCAGGTGGAAACGCTAGGGCAGGGGCATTGGCATCATCTACCAAGTCCGCACCAGGGTGGTGGATTGTGAAGCAATTGTAACCTCCATGGTGTCGATGCTCTGACAGCCAGTTGGTGAGGAACCTGATCCTGTGAAATTTAAATAACATGTTTTTCTGCATCTGGCTTTGGATGCAACCTAAAGATAATCATGTTATGCCCCATGCTGCTGTGAAAGTGATATGGCCCTCTGTGCTGCCTTCTGCTGCAGCCTGCCCGCCAGACCCCCACGGGAGAGGGTAAGGCCAACCCCACACTCTAATAAGTGCCACTGCATCCAAACAAAGACATTCCAGAGCTATTTCTTTTTAGTTTTATTTGGTGGGAGGGTGAATAAATCAAACCATGAACCCATAATCCCCATCCCCGCTGCTTTTGCTTCTCTTATGATCCACCAGCTAAATCTTTCCTTGATGATAATTTAATCCAATAACGGGGAGCTGGGCAGGGAGGGTGGGGTGGGAAGGATAGATGCTATTGTTGTCTGGAACCCAGAGCCGACCCATTTGGGAAGGAGCTTTGCAAATTTGCTTCAGAAGCAAAAGCCAGGCTTTTAAATTCAGCCCAGAGATGAGTTCATTTAGCCACCCTGTAGAGCTTATGGCCTGTCTCTGCCCAAGCCCATAGCACGATCTGGGCTCTGGGTTCAGTTGGGCATTACTGCAATGTGGCCAATAATTAGTCAAGCAGCTGCCTTCAGTTTTCTTTTATGGTGCTGAACAGAGCAGGAAAGGGACAAAAAATCCACTTCCTGCTCTGCCTGGGACTGGAGGCTTGGAAGTGAACAAAACTGAGAACAACTATGCTCACATTAGGCAGGCCACTGATGTGACACCGGAGAATGACAGCTCAGAGGCTGCGAGCAAGACCCCTCAGTGCACTGTCAAGGTCGTGGACTAGCCAGATGCTTCGTTAGCCTCTGCCTGCCAAACCACAGTCAGTCTAAATGGTAACAGGGCTGTGCTATCCCCTCCTTCACCCATGCCCCAAGCGAGCCCTTCCCGGCCAGGCCAGCCAGCACAGTAAGAAGCACGTGAGCTACTCTGCTGCTCCTGCTATGAGTATTAACCTCTCAGCAGAGCACAGCAATATGTCACTTCGCTGCTGACAGAAGCAGCCGTTTGTGACCTTAACTGCTTTTATTTGGAAGAAGCGGAAGGGACATTTTTCTATTAGTCTGCCCCAATGCTGGGAATGCTCTCTTAAAGAAGCCCTAACCTTCCAGACGGTGCAATGAGGCATGTAACACATCTCTGCAGAGTAATCAGATTCTGGCCCTTCCGCTCCATTCTTGCCTTCTATATTATCATGGCTGAACTCAGTAGCTATAGCAACATGGCCCATCTGGAAGGCTCCTGGGTTCCTCCAAGCAAGAGGTACAGGCTAGGCTTGTACCCAAGGGTGCCTTAGGAATGGGGGAGCAAGGGAAAAGAAGACCTGCCTGGTCGCAGGTTTACGTGGCTGGAGGGCAGCTGACTGCAGGAGAGGGCTCGCACTACCGCACTGGCAAGGTAGCGTTGATGGCTGTCCCAGCAAAGAGACCTGCAAGCAGATTTCGAGGGCGTTTCAGAGATCCCGCCATTAGAGGAAGAACACCAAGACGGCGTGAGAAGAACAACAGACCTCAGCCACCTCTTCAGATGGCTCGCACTGTCCTTTCTGACCTCCGTCACAAGGTGGTGACACGAACACCTCCAGGAGTCACTTGGGATCAGAGAGCCCACAATTCCCAGGACCTCGAAAGGATTTAAAGGGATGAATGGAGGGTGCTCAGCTCTGTCCTAAGAGTTGGGTCCCCTCAAGAGGTCTCAAGACAGACATCTCAGCCTGCAATAATGCCCCTGAACAGGTCATCTCTAGAGACGGTACCTGGGATCTCGGCACCTGAAGGGATGGGCTTTTCCTGCCTAAACTGAGCTGTAGGATCAAGTTCCTACATGTGAACGGAGTACCAGACTCAGGTTTATGCTCCGCAGCAGAAAGCTATATTAGGATGGAAGGAAGGTGCGAATTCTTATTGCTAAAGCTAAAAACACATTACCAGGATGTGTTACAGCCCAGGAACACCAGAATGAGGGGCATACTTAAGAATACGTGCCAAGATCTGGAAATGCAAGCCTCTGCCACACAGATAAACTAAACCCTGGTTGTGCCCCTGCAAACCGAAGACCTGCACTTTGCTGGTGTGGGTTCCAGCTAGCCACTTTGGAAAGCATAGGCCCAAATGTCCCAAGAGACTCCATCTCAGCTTCCTTCCCTTTCCCGATTCCACTCCAAATGAGCACAAAACCCCAAAGCGGGTTCTTCTCCCATGAAGCCCAGCAACACTTGTGTGGCTGGTCCAATTAGTCTAGCCTAATCTTCAATTCCAGGGCAAGGAGCTTTTTACTAGGTAGCAAACAGACTTAGATGCACAGAGATATTTATTCCCAAGAGCCAGGAAAAATCTTGATTTTAAAACCACTGGATTAAAAATTTAGCAAGCTTTGAAATTTCCTTCTCACAGAACACATGTCAACATTCGTTTCCATCCCAATACAGGACAACATTTTTTTTTTGCGGGACAGAATGGTCTAAAAGTTGCGTTTTGGAGAGGCTGAGGCTTCCTTGCTTCTACATTTTTTAACTGAAACATTTGGACTTTCCTGAAATTAGCTGGCTGGGTCCACGTTGCCTTACAGGTATTATTGCTTCCGTGGCTATGAGCTGGGCTCCCTAGAGGACAGCCCTTCCCCCAGGGCAATGAATTTAAAAGGCAGGTTCATTTTGTTCTTAACTGACTCAGAAAGGAATCGTTTCCAGTCCATTCAATAAAGAAAAGTGTTCCAAGTCAGGTCAAACGGATCTAAGCAAAAAAAATAAAAAAATCATTCCCGTTTTCCCAGTGGAAAACAATGCTGTTAATGTTGCTTTGCACAAATGGAACCTTTCTCCATGGAATAAAAATAAAAAAAATAAAAAAGAGCAATTTCATGGAAAGGCCATTTTCAAGGGAGGAAAAGTCACTTGCTGGAAGTTTCCAAGCAGCTATTGTGGGCCTCGCAACTAGACCAGGACAAACTGTGCTTTGCTCTTGCTCTCTGGGCTGCTCAAACGCCATGCTGTTCATAAATGTGAAGGTTCACAAGGGGCCCTGGGGGATCCAGTGAACAAGTGATGGTCAATAAACCAGCCCTGTCTGAAGAGTACCTTCCCCCAGCACATCACTTAAACTTTTCTACTGTTTCAAACCGGGACCACCAAACCACTCCAGACCCTTCTTGTCACCTGGAAAAATTCCAGGAGGCAGGAAACCAGGAAATCCACCCACACACATCTCCACTCATTGAAAGACTCTCTTCCAAACAGATCTGCTCCATCTCTGGGCTCTTATAAGTGCTCAAAGCTGGTCCAAAAGCAAGGGACAAGTGGCCCCGTCCCCTGTCCACAAAGGTTCAAATCAGGCCAGATAACCTCCAGGCATTCCTTCATGAGTATGGATTTCCCCCTCCTCCTCCTTCCCATGCCTGCTTGCTACAGCAGCGGTCATCCTACCCAGAGAACAGGGATGGTGCCAGTCTCAGATCCCTTGCAGCACTGGGAGCTCTGTCTAAGCGTCTTCCTCTGGGGAAATCTTAGCTTAATGGCCTAGGCAGGCTGCTGGGGGAGAGAACACATTGTGTGTGTCTATGAGACAAACGAGCAAATTACAACATCTCCAGCCTACTATATCAGTTCCTTATTACGTGACGCTTGGAAGCAGCTGGGTCCAAAGGGAGTGGAAAAAAAATATAAAATAAACCCTAAACCACAGCATCTTTGTACAAATGCCACTCCCAGGAGGAGGCTGTTGTTCTGGGCACCATCATGAGTGGAAGATAAGAGCTGAGAGCACCTTCCAGCCTCAGCGCCATTTCTTCACTTCCTCTTCACCTGCTCCCCCTTGCAAGGGACTAACATTTGGAGACGAAAGTCAAACTTGCAAGCATTCAAAACGGGAAGCAGGGTTGCAGCTGGGGAGTGCATGCCAGTTCGTATGGCACAGCTGTTAAGCCTACACCCGCCTGTAGCTGTTTAAGTGAGCTAAGTCACTCAGCTGCTATGTGCATTGTCTTTCAGCCTCATCCTGCATTACTGATAAGCCCACATCAGTCCAGTGCTCTGGAAATGTAGCACTAGGGTCTGTACTCAGTTACTCTGGTTTAAATGCCAAGTCAAGCCACCAAAGCTGATGCAAATATACACCAGCTGAACTGAGACAAGGCTCTGGGGCTATAGATCTGAGACGCACACACAGACAAAAAAGCATGGTTCTGTTGCCAGCGAGTTGTGTGATCACTTGCCCAATGCATAGCAGGTCTAGCCAAACCCAGAAAGGGCCTTGTTGCTACTGATCCTAATCTTTAAACTAATTTGATTTAAAGCATTCTTATCCCAGACTTAAGCACACACACACAGGGAGGTAATTGAGAATAAATCTCCATGCAGACAGGCCTCTCATGACGTCATCCACAGCTATAGGCAGAAACAGGTTAGCCAGATAATTAAGATGTCAAGGCATAAGGATGCAAGGGGTGCAGCTAAGATTTAAGGAGGTGGTAGACAGGCTGGAAGGGAAGGGAATGAGGAATGGGAGAAGGAGCTGCTAATTTTCATTTCCATGGAGCCGGGTAGCAGGTTTATTCACAGGAAAGGGAAAATAAAGCAGTGAAAGCATGTTTTGTTTTTATTACCTGAGAAAATTGAAGCGAGTCTGAATATATCAGAGAGACGAGAAGTGACTGGCTCGTAAGGCGAAGCTTCATAAAATTCTTCTCCTGGAGTGGAGGAAAGGAAAAAAAAAAGATGGAAAAACCTACAACGAATAAACACAATAGCCACCTCTGCTGTTGCTACGCTGCCAGCCCTTGCCCCCCAACCCCACAGCCACTCTAGGAAAGCTAATTATAAGACACACTGACTGGTATTTGCAAAGGCGTCTTATAGAGAATTAAGCATCCAAATCCCCTTGACCCGTCAATCGTTTTGGGGGTCAGGAAACTTCCCCGTTTCAGGTTTTTTAAAAAAATAAGAAGATTGATAAAGAAAAGCCAGCGTGACTTTTGGCTTTGTCCTTTTATAGTTTAAATTTAATGAAGACTTCAAAATGCAACCTTCTGATTCACTCAAGACGAAAGGTCTCTGGGTTTGTTTGATTTACAGTCCCTGAAAACATGAGAGATTTCTCAATCCAATTCAAGAGGGGAAAGGTTTGATAAGGCCAAATTTTTTCTGTAATAGAAAACTGTCTTCCGCCCAGCTGTAATTATAATTCATTTTGGAAAAATAGGAATCTTTGATGTTTCAATAAGAGAGCCAAGACCCTACCCAGGACTTACACAGTCATCCTGTCGTATCAGAGGTACTCCCACATGCGAAAGAATTTGCCACTGCAGCCCTGTTGTGCTGAGCCCTTGCTGCCCCCATTACAAAGATGAGAAATGAAGACACCGAGAATATTTTCTGAGCAAAGTTGAGCCGAGTCTGTTTGTGGTAAAGCAAGACGCCGAACCCAGATTCCTCTACCCTCAATGCAGCACCTTAATCATATGTGTGAGGAAGGACATGAGTGGGGTGGGAATACTGAAATTTTATCCGTTCCACACTGCAGCCTGCTAACTCCGTTTAGAAACCTTTATTAATCGTTCTCTACCCAGGCTTGGTATAGTGTGAACATTTGCAAACCCAGCTTCCAGACCACAGTGCTGTCACTGACCACAACCTGAAAGCTGGCCCGACAAAGTCTCAAGAGCTTGAAGCCTGATGAAGGGGACTGCAAAAGCAAACAGAAGAAAGCTGCCAGTATGAGAGGCATCCCTTTAAGCCTTGAAGGAAAATGCTCATGGACTTCACATAGGTCAAAATTTGCCTAGAAAGGACTAGTGAGCTCACAAGACTTTTTATTTTATTTTATTTTTTTTTTTAAAGGAAAATTTTTCATGTCCCAAGCCAAATCAATGCCAAATCCGTAAGTCAGTCCAGAACCATATGTGGTCCTACTACCAGCAAATATCCTCCACTCTCACCAGGGGCTTCAGACATTTCCAAATCCTTTGGCAGGCATCCTATATGCCGGCCCAAGCCCAGAGACTTGGGGTTCGGATGCCCCCAAGTTTCACTTGCCCTCAGCCATAAGGCCCCAGCAACAAGCGAGGAAGGAGTCTCCCATTTCCATAAAGTAGGCATAAAGCCAAGATCTTCCCACTGGAAGTGAAAGTGGGAAGTTAACTATACATTACCTCCATGGGTACTACCCCGTGCCAGGACAGTGGTCTTCCCCGGGTGCTAGGAAAACCGCCTCGGTGGTCACGGTGTTTCCCCTGCCAGGTAAGCTCACAAGACTGGAGACCAAAAATCCCTAGACCTAGAGCAACTCTTAGAAATAATAAGGTTTGTTCTTTGAAACTGTCTCCATACTCCTCACACATACACCTGCACGGTCTCTGTCTAAGAAGAGATCAGTGAAAGCATCATTAACAGCAGTGCTTTCCACTGGAAATAGGGGCTCTTGATAGAGGAAGTGGTCTCCTCAGCAAGGAGAAAAAAAAAACAAAAATCAATGTAAGGCCGCTTAAAGCCCCCAGTGAAGACTGACCAATAGCCTCATGCATCGATTTCCATTCCTTTCAACGCGTGTCCGCCTCATCTCCATAGCGGGTAGGAGAAGCAGGGCACCTCCACTGATAGTTCTTGCATAAAAGGCAAAGCTGGCAGAAGCGGAAGTGTCTTATGGTGGTGATGGATGAGCTGGGGCTGCACAGGAGGTGTTAGGAGCAGCTGAACTGCCACACCACATGTGGCCTCATGAGCCAGAGAGGATGCTCGGTTTAACCACAAAGACCACACTGAGTCCCTGGAGGCAGAGGCTGACCCGGGTATGGCACGGCTCCAAGCTGGCCCTTTGCCCAACAAAGGGGATTCTCCAGGACAGGAATATGCTATTAAACACAGAAGCCATTTCCCCCCCAACACAACAGCTGTAGCCAGGTCCTGCTCCATGCTACCCCCTACACCAGCATAGACCTGCTGGTGCACCAGGCTTTGGTGGCATAGCTACTAGTGTAACTGGGAATAACATGGTCCTGCTGGGCCCAATCTGGGAAAGGACTGAGCAGCAGTGTGACTGCCTGGGTAATGCACTGTACTAGGACTCAGGGGATGCGATGCCTATCCCGCACTTGGCCAGAGAGACCCAGAGTAACACATGCTCACCTGACCCTCCACATCCAGCTCCCTCTCTCTACGATTTAGGTAATTTCTCCTCAGTCTAACTTCTGGGGTAGGGACTTTCACAATGTGTGCGCACAGCACCTGGCACAGCTGGGCCCTGATCCCAGTGACAGCCTCAGCTTGCTGCTGTAATATAGATCAAAACCACACTTTGCTGTGGTCAGTGGCTTACACCCAGAGCCTCCCCTGGAGGGAATAATACTACCTTGTCCTTTAAAGTCAGTGCTGAATACTGCCATCACTCAGGCCAGCATGAAGCAGGTTTCCTATGCAACCACAGGCAATGCCCCTACTCTGCAGATAAAAAGACCTCACGCTTGGGGGGGCTCTGAACAAGCAGCAAGTTCACTAGAGGGGGAAGACACTCAGGCAGAAAGAGGGTTAAGAGGCTTCTTGCCTTTGAGAAGTTTCTAGCTTACTAATTCTAGCCTGTGCTCACTCAGGATATTATTAGCTTGACAAAGGTAGCGTTTATTCCATGATTAAGAAATCATTTGATACTCTGCCCTGGAAAACAGGCTTATTAACAGGCAGGAAGCAATCAGGAATAGCCAAGGCCCAATCCACCAGCTCCTCTGTAGACAGCTCTGAATGCATTTCATTACTGGAAATTGTTCCAGAGGATTGCAAGGCACAACGAGCTGCCAGGGACCAGGCATCAAGAGCACCCTCCTGCCCTGCCGAAGCCAGAGCACACAAGGGGCAGATCTCGAGCACAGCCTCATCTGGTTCCAACATCATTGTTAGTGTTGGCTGCCTATTTGGGGGTCTCTGAAAAAATGGGTTGGTGGGGTCTCAATCCACTTCCCCACAGCCACGAGTCTTCATTTGACTGGATAAAGAAGCCACCAGTGTTAGTCTTAGTCAGGCTTGCGGCTAAACAGCAGGCCCCTGGATTGTGCTGTACACTAAGGTTAATCTTAACAGATTTGAGGTCAATGATAATACAAACAAACATACATGAGGCCAGGCAGTTCCCCTAGCACTGGTCCACGGTGACTCACGCACCAGTCACAGCTTCTCGGATCTTCTATCTAATGTCCACTGTCCAGGAACCAGCCTGTCCAAAGCCATCCATGCGTAAAAAAGGGATTGAGCATAAAAATACTGGCCCCAGGTGCTGGTTGCTTCCACAGCAACTCCTCAGCTAACCCACCTCCTGACAAGGCATCACTCCCATAATCAGGTTCCCAGTAGCCAACACAAAAGCCCAAACTGCCTTTTGAGATGGGGCAGTGGCACCGTATTATGTGCCTATTTTTCCCTCCCTAGGCAGACCAAAGATCCTAGACAACTGCTATCTGCAAAACTTGCTCGAGGCTTGCATATACAACTATAGTACAGATAGCGCTTCATAATAATAATCCAGCCACTCCTTCCCCCCGCCCTTACAAAACAGGGTAGTTATATAAACCTGGAAGGGAGTCAAAAAAAAAAAAAAAAAAAGAGAAAGAAAAGAAATATGTATGGTCAGACTCTAAGCCTCTCTCACTTGAAGACAACACACTTGCTTTGCTTGGTTTACTAATGCCCCAATGACAAATAGCACCTTTATTAAAGTGTGTTTAGGAAACACTGTAACCTCCCAGTATATTGCTTTTCCAATTCAATAAATAATTAAATACCGGCTCAACCTTGCTGCTTGCTAGGTAAATTATCAAGTATTAAAACGCATCAAACTTCTCCTAAGCAGGTTATGATACAATTAACCTCCAGGAAAGGCACCTGGGTTGAAGCAGCCTGGTTTAATGAAAGGACAGAGCCCCACAAGTGCCACAAAGGCGGGAGGAGGACAGATAGCCAAAAACGAGCCTATTAACCAGAGGCATTGTGGGCAAATCCAGCAGTGGCCAGAGATGAGGACATGCAGCTCAGTCACCTAGCCTGTGTGGTGGGTATATACCGTACCGCTGGATGTCTTTCAGTGTCACAGAAGGCAAGGGGACACTGGATGGCTGTGGGACAGGAAGCCTATCCGTATAATGCAGTCTCTGAAACATGGTGGAGTTTTGTAGAGTGGCTTTGGGTGGTCCTATAGCAGGCCCTGCCATCTCGGTCTAGGACTCAATCTTGCCGTCAGCCCACCAGCAAGATCTGAACCTCTGGGTGGGGTCACAAGAGTGGGAGTCAAGAGTCCTGGGTCCTATCCCTCTAATTTAGCTCCCTTTTTTGGTGAGAAAGAGATGCACTGTCACTTCATGTGCCTGTGATAGCACCCCAGCAAAGGCAAGGCCACTTCTGCTAGCACGGAAGGTCAAAGCAAACCATGAGCTCTCCACAGTGCTTACCTTGACCTGCTAACACACATTGAAGCTACAAACTGCCTCCTCAGCTCTGGTCTTCTACCTCACATTATGCAGCACAGATAAAAGGGCACGCAGAGAGAACAGGTAACCTACGAGGTGAGCCTAGAAAAATTCAGGCCATCCCTTCCTCCTGAACACGTAAATCTTCTTTCATTCATGTCCACCAAGTCTTTTGAAGCCCTTGAATGAAGGCTGTTAATGAGGGGCAAAGCCTAATTCAGCACAGATCCCTGCCTCCAGGCTGGCTTTCCAGTCATCCATCTGACCCACATTTCCATGATGCATCGAGGGCTCATCTCTAGCAGCTAATGTGCCTTAATAACCTGCCTCACCTTCACGAGCATTTTAACGTGGTTTAAAAATACACCTTCCCCACAGCGGAGCACAAACAGACAGTCCAAGGAGTCACTGAGGCCAGCATTAGCAGGCACACTCAGTACGCACAACGCAGGCTGCCCACAAGACATCCAGGTCCAGGAAGCACTCGCACCCCCTCCACTTTGGGCTCCACAGGCAAGTCCCCATGCTCACAAAACCATAAGCATCAGGAAGCCTCAGGCTAGGGTGTGCAGCAAAGGAAAGCTAGAGTCTTCGGCTTGCACACCTATAGGGAGAGGAGCTGCAGGAGCAAGGTGGGGAGATCCAAATTCCTGCCTCCCCCTTTGAAGAGGAGAAGACAGTAGATAATCCTGTCATCAATAACCGAACAGCCCAGTGCTGGCAAAATCCAATTTCAATTACTAGCACTGCTCCCGCCTCTGATTTATGCCTTTGCCTGCCTGCAATTACAGCCACCCTGGTGCAACTCAAAGAAGTCTGTTAATGGGAGCATCCAGCTCCAGGATCCCTCCAGGGCTGTCCTACTGTGCTCACACCCCCGGCATGCTGCCCAGAGAAAGGCCTGTGTTAAGGAGGTGCCAGCCTGGTATCCAAGCTTGGGGCAGCTGACAAATGAGGACTCTTTAACCTACAAACAAAGCAATGACAGCCTGCAGCTCCATGCCCTGCCTGTCCCCTGGGAACCACATCCCCTCGACCCCAGCATACCTGCAGAGTCATCCAGCAGGCTACAAGGCACTTCTGCCCCTCCACCTTCAGGTTCTCAGCCCACTCCTCACTTGACTCCTCTTATTCCTGTGGCAGTTGATCCACATAAAGGGATAAACGAAGTCAGCCACCCTAGCAAGGTCTCTGCACAGCTGAGCTGGGTCACACTAATAGCCAAGGCAGCCCTTTGCACCTTTGCCCAAAGGATCTCAAAGCACCTTGCAGAGACGGGTTGTCGTCATGGCCCATAACATGGAAGAACAGAGAGAAGCAGCCTGTTGCAAAGCAAACCTGGGGCAGGATCAGAGGCCACATTTGCTCTTCTGGGATGTCAGCACAGAGTTGTCCGGCTCACTTCAGGGCGGCTGTTACATTCCAGGTGGGGAACAGAGCAGAAGTCATCTTGGGCTTGCTAACTACTAGCCCACGCTGCTTTCCAGAGCACAGAGACCAGGTGCTTCTTTCCATGCCATTCCCCTACCCCTTGAGACCAAGCTGAGCTCCACTGCACACCAACAGACAGAAGTTAACACTGTATTGGAGAGAGAGATGATCCACAAGCCAAGCCTGAGTGACACCGACAGCAGGACTAGATTGACAGCTTGTTTCACATGGGGGTGGGAGACACAGTTGGAGTACAGAGAGCCTGGAGGCCAGCCCATCCAACCCCCTAACACAAATGGGAAATTACCTTGCTACCTGCGAGATGTGCTCCCATCTCCACAACCCGCCTTGATGCCCTAATGTGCCTCCTCATTACAACCCAATCTCCTCCAGCGTGCTTTCTCCATGGGGTCAAGACTGCCCCAGGTCTGCCTGGGACCCAGCCCCGCTTTGCAAGTCTAAGCAAGAGCCTCATCAGAGAATAGCCCAGCATCATGCTCACTTCACCCCTATTGACCCCTATTCCAACCCAGCCCGGTTTTCACAAGGATGCACCTTCCAGAATAACAATCAGCTGATTAACGCGGAGAGGCAGGCAGAGGCTGAGCTAACAGAGCTGCCTCCATGCACAGGAGTGGGCTGCAGGGCTCTAACCCCTGGGCCAAGCTGGGCGTATTGCGATTATCCTCTGCTCTGTTGCTGGCCTTGTGCTCTGGGATGGATAGGGGTCTTTATTGCACAACCAGTGTGGGACATGCATGAGTTTGGAGAAAGATAGAGTCTGGGAACAGGGAAGATGGTCTAGAGAGAGAGGAGAAGAGGGAGCATTTAGCAGAGAGGAGATTTCAGTTCTTCCTGGAACTGAGAGTCACTGAACCCTCACGGGCTAAAGCACCCAGGCACATTGCTTAAGGACATCCGACTGACCCTGCTCTGTGCTTATAATGGGACATCTGGCACAGACAAAGGCAGGAAAGGAGTTTAAAGAATTCTACCAACTGCCCCCTGGTCTGTCCTGCCCTGCTGTTCCAGTCCCAGGCTCCCCACCCTGCATTGCTATGCATTCAAGATTGGCCTGCAGACTCCCTGGCCTGTCCAGCAATATATCACTTCCCAGATCCATAGCAAACCACCCAGGTCTTTGCTGCCACACTCCTCAGAGCAGAGGTAAGCAGTCCCCATATGGAGGCTCTTTTGCAGGGCCAGGCTGTGCAGCTCCCAACACACCCTGTAACCCGTTCCCGCTTCATCTGCTCACGGAAGCAGTGCATGCTGCATAAGGTTCACGGCTCAGCCAAAACGCATCGAATCCATCCCTCAGATAGCAAAGCAGAGCTGCCCCTTCAACTAGGGAGCCCAGAAGATTTGAATCATCTCACCTTCCCCCTGGGCTAGTAAGTCAGAACAAGGGCTGTAGTGGACAAGGACTTTGCCTTCCAAAGCACCAAACAGGCCTGGATCTATCCTACCCCATGCCCTATCAATGAGGCATACCTTCACCTGCACATGCCACTCCAGGGCTGATCCATCAGATGGTCCAACCCCCTTCCCCACCACAGACCCAAAGGATCAGAGCCGTAGCCCAGGACACTTACCCTCTGTCAGCCCGAGGTGTATACTCCAGTAGATCTGAAGGCACTGCAACTCCTTCTTCATGCCCCGCTTGCAGCGGCAGTCGTAGAGCGGGCTCTCCTGCAGCACCTCGAGTGCTGCCTGGCACTCCTTGTTGGCCAGCATGGTGTTCCTGTCCCGGCCAGCCAGGCACTGGCGCAGGGTGCGGTAACGGGAGCTGCAGCTCGACTCAGCAGCACACAACTCATTGGCCCGGACACAGTCCACTGGGGTACGCCAGCCATGAGGGTCGTGGCCAGCCAGGGAGGAAGGGCCAGCCAGGGAATGGAGGATCTCGTCTGGACAAGGGGGACAAAAGAAAGGCCAAAGAGTGATGAGATGGTAGCCACACTGCAGGAACAAAAGCCCCATTAAAGCACTGCCTTACCATAGCACCAGGCATAGTAGCACAGAAATCTTCCCCCACCCCCCCACCCCCCCAGAACTGCAACCCCTGCTGCTAGCCCAGCCCTGAGCTTTCCACACACACAGCTGTGCCAACACCACCCAGGTCTGTCATTAATCCAACCAACCTGCACCATTTCAAACCAGTAGCCCTTGCACGCAACCTGCCCTTTTGCACCCTCTGCTACTCCTCTCTTGCATTCCAGCTAAGCCCCGTGCATGTACTTCAGTCTTGCTGTGTGGCTTGGCTGCTATTTCACATACAGGATTCTCCTGAACATGCCTAGGTTAACGTAGTGGGTAGTACAGCCTCCTTCCCCCACCCGTGGCCAGATCTCCAGAGCTGTCTCACTCTCAAAGCATTTTACAACCCTCCCAAATCAGTCCTAACAATCCCAAGCTTTCTATGTTCCAGGTAGGGAAACTGAGGCAGCAAGCCATGAAGTAACTCAAGAAAGCTTGTTGGAAATAGAGCAGAAAGGCCTCGCTCCTGGGCATCTGCTCTAGCCATCAGGCTTCAGTTCTTCGCACTCAAGCAACTGCCCAGAGAGAGCAGTTACATTAAATAAGAAGCAAACAGTATGAACAAGCTGCCCTAGGGAATACATCTGGGTTCAGGTCTTCAGGCAACTGGCACAAAAGAGTTAATTCTCCAACTGGCCTCGACTTGGCTCTGCCAGGATAACAACTCTTGCACTGGGCTTCAGACCAACCTCTGCCAGCCAAGCTGAAGGAACAACTCCATTAGCTGGCAACAAGAGAGAGGTGTTACCCTTTACAGAATCACACCCTGGATAAGGACATGACAGGCAAAGTCTTGGCATGAGACACTGGGGAACGTGAGCATGTCCTCAGGATCTCTGATCAGCCAAGGAGAGCTTGTTTCCTGGTCTGCAATGCTTGTCACCTATTAGCTTTGGCAAAGCTCACAAAAGGTAGAGCTGCGCAGGTATCTCCTGCCAGAGAAGACACCAGCTCACCAGTCTGTGGTTGCAGCCCTCTCTCAGCAAACAGCAGAGCAACTACCCCAACCCACAACAAGAGTCCCAACCCCAGCGAACTCTTCAAACCCACCTCCTACTTCTAAGGGTTTTACTCAGCCCCTCAGGAGGCAGAAACAAAAGCAGGTGCTTATGTGGTCAAGCACAACATGGCTCAAAACGGGGGGCAGCAATCACGACAAATCACAATCTGGAGGGTAAAACAAGCCCTGGCAGCACTGCTCCAGTGGCACCCAACATCAGGCATACTGAATCCAGCATATACCATGACAAGAGGATTCTCCTTTTGTTGCTGCCACCTGCTGAAGAAGGAAACCTTGCTAAATCTGGTTGCACTCCCACATGCAGACTGCCCTGGCATCACAAGGAAGGCATCTAACACAGCCTGTTTGCATGTCATCTTGACACTTCTCAGCAAGCTGCTATATATCCCTGGGCATATATGCTAAGCCCATGGGCGACTGATGCCGCCTTAGTCAGGGGGCACATGCCTCCCCTGTGACCAGTCCCGCCAACCGTGGAGGATGTCCCCCAGTGGCCAATCTCACTGGCCGGGGCCAATCCCGTGACGGCCGATCGCTGCAGCCACTTCAGGGTGTGGCCACTTGCAGAGAGGGCACCGGCGCTCCCGCCTGCCCCCTCTGCCCATCACCTAAGCAGAGAGTGCAGCTGGTCAGGGGTGCACTGGCGCTCTCAGAGGGTACATGTGCACCCCCGTACACCCCCTATGCGTCACCACTGGCAAAGCCAAGGACAGCAAGCCTCATGTATCAGAGCCATCCCTGCAGACAAGTCCTCTTGGGTACTGCTGCCTGACATAAGCAAGGGTTCATCTTCACCAAGTAAAGGATGCAAAGCTTTGGTTTCCCAGCCTTGCTATGGGTCCTGGCAGACTCTAGTGGAAACTTCACTTCAGCCTGTTAAGCTCAGGGTGGCTGAGGACTTTATTTTACACTGGATCCCAAAAGCCACCAGAACCAGCCCCAGCAAAGAGGCTGCCTGATCTCCAGCTCCAGGGCAAAACACTGTGCTGTGAATTTCAGGGCAAGTCCACTGAACTTACTGTGGATTGGCAGCTCTGTAACCAGGGCTGGAATGAGACCCGACTTGCTGCATCATCTCAGCAGCGCAGAGATGGGGAGAGTGACGCCAGCCAAAGGAAAAAAAAACCCTTGGAAAACAGCAGTTTCCAAAAGAAACAAGCAAAGAGGGAGGCAGCCCCAGCTGGGGATTCTGTGCTCATGGAAGATCCAGACTTGGCTGCTTTCATCCAAAGAGGTGAGTAACCCGGTCCTGCTTGGGATTGGGCATCAGCATATCTTCCCCTCCCTGTAAGATCCCCATTCAGTCCCTAGAAAGGAGCTGCTGTCTGGAACTCGCCATCGCCGGTGTTACCAGTGGATTCCACCTTCCCTGGGGTACCAGAGCAAGACAGGCGGGATACATGGGGCCTGAGTCTCAGGGGGAAATGGGGAGTCATTGGAGTTGGCAATAAGAAAGCAGTCAACCGCCGAAGGAATCTCAGAGTACAGAGAAGAACCAAGAACTTCACCGTGTGATTTTTGCCCATGCTCGTCGGTTTAATTCACGAGTAGACCTGGGTCAAAGGAGAACTCCCCTCTCCTTGATGGACACGGGGGCTTTTCTCACCCTAGGAAACACACATCAAGCATCCTCTATCAGGATCAGGTCAGCACATCCCACCCTGCCAGGCATCCCTCCAGCTTCCCCACACTGCTCGGTCATGCCCTGTGCTTTCTCAGCCTCCTACCATTCCAGCATGAGATTATTCCATGCCTCTTGCTCTGAGGTGGTTTGGAAACTTGTTCCAAATCCTAATCCTGGAGCTCAGAGCCGTCTCTGCCTAAATGAGAGCCAGATGGGCAAAAAAGCATGTGCGCACTTGTGTGGTGTTCTTTCCAACTCAATGAAAAACATGCTGTATGTGATGTCGCCCTCTAGCAGCTGGTCCACATAAAAGATAAGAGTCTACTATTGCTGCCAGCTCTTGGAGCTGTACTCAAATGTTAGGGCAAGCATTGCACACAAAGCCTACCACAGCCAGGTTTATGTTCAGAACAAAACACAGCCAGGAAACTCTGGGGAAGGTGGACACTCAACCTATGCTCCCCGAGCTCTGCAGCTGCCGAACGAGCATGCAGCAGCTTTATTACAAAAAAAATAATAAGAATCACAGGGCTGTTTCACAACAAAAGCAAATGCAACTCGCCTGTTTCCATGAGCAAACTGAAGCTCCCAGCTGTTTTTATGGAGTGATTAAATTTGTGGGAACTTGGAAGGTAAGTAGATATGTAATTATCCAATAAGACAAGATTTCTGATGCAGCTTATTTGCGGCTCCAATAAAAACTAGTTAAGGCTTCATGCAAAACTCAAGCAGACAGCGCGGATAGAAATCAAAGAGCCAGCTACATGACTGAGAACCACCAGGGCTATTCCTTTCAAACACATTTCCCTGCAGTGCAGGACCCTGAGCCTTGTGCACACTGGATTCGAGATGAGCTATTCTCCTGCCACCAGGAGTCAGCAGTAGGCTGAGACATTGGGTACTAGAAGGTCCCAGCCCTTGCATAGGCCACGGCACTCTCCCACGGAGTATTTCCCTCTGTCACGTGCACATCATCCCTGACTGAGCCCCATCTAGACTTGTTCCTCCAGTAGGTTTGAAAGTGGGTCTCACACTGAATGCCATCGACTGCTAACCACATAGCCAAGGCACGGGGGGGACCTGCAGAATGGCTTGGCAGGTCCTTAGGAAAGGCAGCGCCACACAATGTCCCCAGCACGCCACTGGAAATATCCGCTGCACACATCAGGATAGCAGAGGAGGCTACAGGCCAGAAGTCAAGGGCATCAGCAATGCCCAGAGTGGGAGCAAGGGAGGGCCAGGGGGTCAATGGCTCAGCACTGAGCTTAAGCAGTGGTGCTGGAATACAGCAAGCTGCTTGGTGGGGTGGGCTCAACTGTGCTATGGACCCAGGGCTGAGCAGCAGGATAGCCTAGGCCCTGGACTGAGCTTTGGTGATATAAGGTCTGATTCGCATTGACTTCCTGATGCTGTTCTGGGGACATCAAAAGACCAGGAAACAAGATGCAGATGAGATGCCCTGATACGTGTAGCTGTAACATTGCATACAAGCTTCACGCCAACGTGATCTACTGGAGGCACTGCAGACAAAGGAAAAGAAAGGAGGCTGTGCTGCTACAGCTATCCTTTGCTTTCCAGGCCTTGCCAGGGAAACCTAGAGCAGCCTTGAGGCTGCTCCTTTACCAGAAGCTGGGAGGACCCTGCCTTATTTGGAAAACTGAAAGCACAATGAGGCCTTCTCTTTGCTTTCCCCAAACATTAAGATAGGAGGATCTGAGAAACAGGGAATGGGAACATGGTGTCTAGAAGCTGAAAATCTGAGAAGGCGCAGATCACTCTACAATTACACAGATCCCTGAAGTCAATGGGACAGTGAGAAGGCAAATGCCTAAATTCAGCACTGCAAATCAGTATCTCATGACCAGACAAATAGCATCACACTCCCTCTGAGCTGAATGGAAGCCGCTTCCCAGGGGCCTTGTCCAGGAAGATGGCACTAAAGTCCAGCTGAAGAGGGCAAAGAAATCCAAAGGGAATGAAATACAAACCCCAGCCAAGGGCTACCAGCTGCAATGATCTTATCACACTGGCTCATACCAGAGTCTCAGTTTTATCAGGGGGAGGACGAAGACAGAGCATAATTCTAGCTCATTGACTTTGGAGAAAAGCTTCAAAATTTGACCTGTAAAGGCTTGCAAAGCAGAAGGCCAAAAAAAACAAACCCAAAAGTATTAAAAAAACAAAACAAAACCCAATCTCATCAGTTTTGAGCCTGCCTCGTGATT